CCCAGGCCCACGAGATCGTCTGCAAGAGCCGAGACACAGAGGCGGTGAGTGTGTGGGAGCTCACGGGTGTGGTGTGTGAAGGGCCTGGGGACCTGCTTTCATGTCACCTCGCCCTGGGGCTGTCGTCACGGCTGGTGAGCCTGCTGGGGCAGATGCCTTTCCCATGGCTCTGTGTGCGCTGATGTCCCTGGGTGGGGGCCCAGAGCTGACGCCGTGCCTCACTCTCTGCTGCCCTGGGCCTTCCAGCTCCAGGAGCAACTGCATCGCTTCATGGCCATGAACGAGGACCTGCGTCACAAGGTGGCCGTGGTGCAGGCTCAGCTCAAAAGCGCGCTGGAGAAAAAGTCGGACCTGGAGGCCATGATGCTGCAAACCCAGAGGGAAACGAGCAGGAGGAGCAGGATCGCTGAGATCCACCAGCCAAAGCCCAGCCTGGTGAGTCCGAGCCCGCAGCCCTGCTGCTGCAAGGCGTCGCTAATGCCGACCCGACCTTCCCGGCCCTGTGTGGGGCTCCTGGCATACCCGGACCCACCGGCTGGCAGCAGGACATAGCCACTTGAGTAAGCCCCACTGCTGAAAATTGAACAGTGCTGCGTCTGTGATGCCGGTAACACCTTGTCCTTAAAAATTGGTAGGGGTGGAGGCAGGAATGAGTGAGGCGAGGTGATGGGAGGAAAAGCCAGGTGGGACTCAGAGGATGAGGAGGGTTTGCCCCATGTGGCGATGGGCGGTGGGTGCTGGCTGAGCTGGGGAGCCACCGTGGTCCGTGGAGGGCTGCAGCAGCTCCAGACTAGCAAACTCATTCCTGAGACTTTCCCATCTCTGCCTGCACGTCGCACCTAGCCTTTGGGTGGGGGATTCAGGGTCTCCGCTTGCCTGCTGACTCTCTTTCTGTCCCGGCAGGAAGGAGCGCTGTCACCTGCGGAGGAGCCGCAGCCCCAGGACGCGGACGCAGGCAGGAGCCCTGCTTACTGCTGCTTCTCCAAGGAAGAGCTGCAGCAGATCCTGCAAGAGCGGAACGAGCTCAAGACCAACCTGTTCTTGGTGCAGGAGGAGCTGGCCTATTACCAGCGGTGAGTCCTGCTGCGGCGGCATGGGGCAGCGAGCTGGGTCCCTCCTGTCCCTGCAGCCACCTGGGGCCCGTCAGAGGCTGCTCCTGGCGCAGTCAGGGCGGATTTCTTTGCCCAGCGCTCGGTTAACCAGCTGGCTGCTTTTTGCCAGGGAGCTGCTGAACGAAGAGAGAGTGCCCAGCTTCTTCTTGGATGCGATGAAGTCGACTATCAAAAGACAGAGAAAAAAAATCAGAGCCAAAATGCTGGGAACGGCGGAGGAGTCGGCGAGCAGGTGAGTCCTGCTCACCGAGAGGGAGGACGGGGAACCTCCCGTGCAGGGTGGATGCTGGCTGGCAGGCTCCAGTGTTTTCGTGTGGTGTGACGCCCTGGAAGGGAACTCCCCCAGGCGAAGAGCTGCCTCCTCCCTGCCTCCTTCCAGAGATCAAAGGTTTATTGTCTGCAGTGGATGTCTTGCTCTGGCTTAGCCCTGGGAGCGCCGCAGGGGCTGGGCTCTTCTCTGCTGCCACTCGCGTGTCCCTGTCACCAGTCACACATGGCCTGGCCAAACGCCACTCGTCCCTGCGTGGATGTGGCAAAAGGGAAGCGAGGTGGTGGCACTGGGACCACTGGACGAGGCGGGCTGGTCCTTGCGCTGTACGGTTGGAGGCTGTCTAGCGGAGAGCCTTTGAAGATGACAGTAGAGATGTTCCCTGGAGGCTCTGCAAGAC